TCACCCACAGCCACGTCACCCGCTGTCCGGTGTCACCCACTGTCCAGAAGTGGGCCCGCTCCCGGCGTGGCTGGGCTGTCACTGCCCTCTACCCTCCCATGGCAAAATGACACCCAGCCCCTGGCACTGCACCCCACCCCACCCCCCCGCTGCACCCCAACCCCCGGGGCCAGGCCCTGGGGACAGCGGGACCAGTGAGGGGGAGGCCCCCAGGGCTGGGTGGGGAGGTGGGAGAGGGGGGCGGTGACCCCCCGATCCAGCTGTGGGTGTGACAGTGACCCCCCAAACCAGCTGTGGATGTGACGGTGACCGTCCTCATCCAGCTGTGGGTGTGATGGTGATGCCCCCCCAATCCAGCTGTGGGTGTGGCAGTGACACCACCCCCCCCCCGATCCAGCTGTGAGTGTGATGATGACCCTCCCCAATCCAGCGGTGGATGTGATGGTGATCCCCCTCGTCCAGCTGTGGGTATGATGGTGATGCCCCCCCCATCCAGCTGTGGGTGTGATGGTGACCCCCCCCCCGATCCAGCTGCAGGTGCGATGGTGACCCCCCTGATCCAGCTGTGGATGTGTCAGTGATTCCCCCTCATCCAGCTGTGGGTATGATGGTGATGCCCCCCCATCCAGCTGTGGGTGTGATGGTCATGCCCCCCCCCTCCAGCTGTGGGTGTGATGGTGACCCCCCCATCCAGCTGTGGGTGTGATGGTGACCCCCCCATCCAGCTGTGGGTGTGACAGTGACCCCCCTCAATCCAGCTGTGGATGTGATGGTGACCCCCCTCATCCAGCTGTGGGTGTGATGGTCATGCCCCCCCCATCCAGCTGTGGGGGGGTGGCAGGGCCGGGCGGTGTGGGGGTGCGTGTGCTCACACCCACGGGGGTGAGCGGTTGTGCCAGCTGGGTGTGACTGTCCCTGTCATTCACCCTGTGGGGCGCAGGGGGGACCCCCTCGTGTCCCCCCTAAATCCCCCCGCCCCCTCGGGGGGGCTCCATCGCGATAGGAGAGGCAGCCCGGCCCCGGCCCCAACCCTGGCCCCATCCCGGTCCCCGTCCCGGTCTCGCGGGGTCCCCGGGGCCGGGTCCGTTCCCGCCGCCGCCTCATTAGGATGCAGCGCGGGCGGCGACTGCGCCAGCACCGGGGACCGGGACGGGGACAGGGAGCGACAGGGACCAGGAGCAGGATGGGGACCGGGACCAGGAGCAGGACGGGGACCGGGACCACGACAGGAACCGGGACAGGGATGGGAACGGAGACAGGGACAGGGACGGGGACTGGGACCGGGACAGGGACCGGGACAGGGATGGGAACGGAGACAGGGACAGGGACGGGGACCGGGACAGGAACGGAGACAGGGACAGGGACGGGGACAGGGACAGGGACGGGGACAGGGACAGGGACAGGGACCAAGAGCAGGACCGGGACCAGGATTGAGACTGGGACAGGGATGGGGGCAGGGACGGGGACGGAGACCGGGACAGACAGGGACGGGGACAGGGACAGGGACAGGGACAGGGACAGGGACAGGGACAGGGACCGGGAGCGACAGGGACCAAGAGCAGGACCAGGGCCGGGATTGAGACCGGGACAGGGATGGGGACAGGGACGGGGACGGGGACCGGGAGCAACAGGGACCAGAACCGGGACAGGGATAGGGACAAGGAGCGGGGCCGGGCTGGGGGCAGCAGCAACGCCCCCACCCCCCCCCGGGCTACACCCCCCCCGCGGGCACCCTGTAACACCCCCACCCCCCTGAACCCCCATGTGCCACCCACTGACCTCCCCCCATCCTCTATACACCCGTTCCCCCCCCCGCCCCCCCGCCGCCATGAGCCCCGCGGGGGAAGGGGCCCCCCACGGCGGCTGCCCGCACCCCAGAGATGTCCCCCCGCCCCAGCCATGCACACGCACATGCACGCACGTGTCCACGCACACGCGTGTCCCACCCCCCCCCCACTGCAACTCCCCAACACCCGCCCTGCACCCCCAGCCCCCCCCCCGTCCTGCCCCCCCCCCCCTAAATTTACAGCATGCCCCCAGTGCCCACCATTCCCCACTCGAGCCTCAGTTTCCCCACCCAGCACCAACCCCCTCGACTTAAACCCCCCCCAAAAAGTGGGACACCCCCTTACAGCTCCCCCCCCCCCCCCGCCCCGCCCCAGAGCGGCGGCCGCCGTCACGCCGCGGCGGCTTTGCAAATCCCGCTATTAATCGCAAGGTCAAAGCCATTACGGTGATATTAAAATCATCAGAGCCCACGGGGGGAGTGGGAGGGGGGTTGGAAAGGCGGGGGGGGGGGTGCTGGGCCCCCCTCGACCCCCCCCTCTCGCGGCTCGGCGGCTTTGGAGGCGCGCACAGAACATTGCTTTTTAATTTAAGCCGTTAAGGTCAGTGGCAGCAAATGGAGCCGTGGTTTAAATCAGAGAATAAAAAAAAAATGGGAAAAGGAGGAAAAAAAAAAAAAAAAAAAAGAAAAGGGGGGAGGAAAGGCGGACAAAGACGGACGGACGGACAGGCCATGGAGGGGGTTTGAGGGGACTGAGGGGTGCGTGGGGGGCTGGGGAGGCCTCCTCGGGGGGGTTTAGGGGGATAAAAAGGGGAATTGGGGGCACTGGGGCAGGTTTTGGGGGGAGGGTTTGGGGTGCAGGATCCGGGGGGCTGCGGTGGGTGGTTTGGGGGGGCACCCACGGGGCACTGCAGGCACCGGCACACGCCTCGCACAAACGTGGGTCCCTGTGCAACCCCCCCCTTCACCCGTGTGCGCACCCCCACCCACCCCCCCCTCCCCGTGTGTATCCCCCCCCGCACACCCCCCCGTGCACACCCCCCTGTGTGCACACACATGTGCAACCCCCACCCCACACACGCTCACCCCACACCCCCCCCCCCCCGTGCACGCCCTCCCACGTGCACACCCCCCCGCCCCCGGGTGCTCACGCACCCACCCGCATCCGTGCGCACCCACGCACCCACCCATGTGCAAACCCCCCCCCCCCTTTCCACCCCCGTGCTCACCGCCCTGTGCGCACCCACAACACGCTCACACCCACGTGCACGCGCCCGTGCACACACACGGCCCCCCCCCCTGCGTGCACCCCCACGCACACACGGGCGCGCCCACGGGCACGCGCGGAGCCCCCCACGCTCCCCCCGCGGCGGCGGGGCCGGCCTGATGGATGGCCTCCTTTCAATCCCGGCTCCTCGTTATTGATTTTCCTTTAATGAAAGTTAATTATAACAATGATTTAATTAATAGCGGCTCTCTCTGCCTTTATGGCTTCCCGCATTAGCGCTGCCCATAAATACGGCCGCCTGACAGCCCACGCGGCCCCACGGCCCTGCACCCCACCCGGGGGGTGGCACCGTCCCCCCGCACCCTGGGGGGCCCCCAGCACCCTGAGGTGTCCCAGACCCCAGCACCTTGGGGTGTCCCGGTCCCCCCGCACCCCGGGGTGGCACCGTCTCCCTGCACCCTGGGGGGCCCCCAGCACCCTGGGGTGACACCGTCCCCCCCGCACCCCGGGGGGCCCCCAGCACCCTGGGGTGACACCGTCCCCCCCGCACCCCGGGGGGCCCCCAGCACCCTGGGGTGGCACCGTCCCCCCGCACCCCGGGGGGCCCCCAGCACCCTGGGGTGACACCGTCCTCCCGCACCCCGGGGGGCCCCCAGCACCCTGGGGTGGCACCGTCCCCCCCGCACCCCGGGGGGCCCCCAGCACCCTGGGGTGACACCGTCCTCCCGCACCCCGGGGGGCCCCCAGCACCCTGGGGTGGCACCGTCCCCCCCGCACCCCGGGGGGCCCCCAGCACCCTGGGGTGGCACCGTCCCCCCCGCACCCCGGGGGGCCCCCAGCACCCTGGGGTGGCACCGTCCCCCCCGCACCCCGGGGGGCCCCCAGCACCCTGGGGTGGCACCGTCCCCCCCGCACCCCGGGGGGCCCCCAGCACCCTGGGGTGACACCGTCCCCCCGCACCCCGGGGGGCCCCCAGCACCCTGGGGTGACACCGTCCCCCCCGCACCCTGGGGGGCCTCCAGCACCCTGGGGTGGCACCGTCCCCCCGCACCCTGGGGGGCCCCCAGCACCCTGAGGTGTCCCAGACCCCAGCACCTTGGGGTGTCCCGGTCCCCCCGCACCCTGGGGTGGCACCGTCCCCCCGCACCCTGGGGGGCCCCCAGCACCCTGGGGTGACACCGTCCTCCCGCACCCTGGGGGGCCCCCAGCACCCTGGGGTGACACCGTCTCCCCGCACCCTGGGGGGCCCCCAGCACCGTGGGATGGCACCGTCTCCCCGCACCCTGGGGGGCCCCCAGCACCCTGGGGTGGCACCGTCCCCCCCGCACCCTGGGGGGCCCCCCGCACCCTGGGGTGTCCCAGACCCCAGCACCTTGGGGTGTCCCGGTCCCCCAGCACCCTGGGGTGACACCGTCTCCCTGCACCCTGGGGGGCCCCCAGCACCCTGGGGTGACACTGTCCTCCCGCACCCTGGGGGGCCCCCAGCACCCTGGGGTGTCCCGTCCCTCCCATACTCTGAGGTGTCCCGGTCCCCCCGCACTCTGCGGTGTCCTGGACACCAGCACCTTGAGGTGACCCGTCCCCCCAGCACCCTGGGGGGCCCCCAGCACCCTGCGGTGTCCCGGACCCCTCGCACGCTGGGTTGTTACGGCGTTTCCCCCCCCCCCCCTCCCCCGGGTTCACACAGGTGCACATTCCTCGCACACGCCCCCGTGCACACACCCCCACGCACCCCCACGCCCACACGTGCCCCCTCACGCCGTGGCCCCCCCTCCACTCGACTGTTTGTGCCCCCCCCCCCACCTCGAAATGGCGCCCGCAGCGCCCCTCGCCGCCGCCAGGGGGCGCGGCGCGCGGACCCGCCCCTTCCCACGAAACCCCGCCCCCTCCCGTTGGCCCCGCCCCCCTCACCGCCCCGTCCCGCCGAGGGCTCGGCAGCCCCCCGGCCGCGCCACCTCCCAGCCCGCAGGCGGCGCCGCGGGGCGGGACGGCGCTCTGGGCGGCGAAACCCGTTGCTTCTCAGTGGCGCTTCCGGGGCGCGCCTGCGCAGTCGGTGCCTCCGTGACCTGCCCGCCGCCGGTACCCGGAGGTGAGCGGCGGCGGGTGGGGGCGTGAGGGGAGGCAGCCCCGGGGGGGGAGAGACCCCCGTGGTGGGGGCGAAGGGAGGGGGACAGTACCTCTCAGGTGTTGGGGAGGGCGAGAATGGTCCCCTCAAGGGTGCGGGGGGGGGGGGAGGGGCGGTGGAGAGCCACCCCCCACCCCCCCACCCCCCCACCCCCAAACTTTGTGCGGGGACAGGGCCGGGCGATCCCCCCCTCAGGGAGATGGTTGGGGCATTCCCTCACACGCTCAGTTTTGAGGTGAACCCCACACTGTTTTGGGGCGCTGTCCCCTCACGCTGTCTTCTGGGGTGATCGCCCTCCACACTGGGGTTTCCCCCCCACAATATCCTCTCCACCCCCCACGTCCCCTGTCAGGGCTGGGGGTCCCCAGGCCGTGACACCCCCCGAGCTGCCTCTTTCTCTGTCCACCGGCTGGGGTGGGACTCCCAGGACCCTCATGAGCTCCTGTTGCCCCCCGGGCGGGTGAAACCCCCCCCCCAGGCCTTGCACTGGAGCAACTCCAGGACTCCACATTCCTGAGCCCCAAACTGTCACCGTGGTGGTGTTCAGCCAGGACCTGTCACCTGAGTGACAAAGACACATCCTGCCCTGCCATTCCCTCGCCTGGCTCAGACCTCCTGTGTGTTCCCACGTCCCATGCCTGTCCTGGGGGGGCCAGCCTGCATCTGCGAGGCCGGATCCCACGTGCTGCGGCTCCTCACGCCTCGGTGTCCGTGTGTCTGTTCCAGCTGTGTCCCGTGCGTGTGTCCCTCCGTCCCTTGCCATGTACACCTGTGCAAAGTTCGTCTCCGCTCCTGCGCTAGTGAGTAGTGACGAACCCCTCCTTCACCCTCAGAGTCCCCTCTGTGGGATGAGGCGGGCTGTGGGGGTAGAGTGTGACAGGGACAGGGGGAGAGATCTGGGGATGCTTTTTGCAGGTTTAGAGCCACCCTGGGCTGCCCTGAAGGTGAGCGGAGCCCTGAGCGCTCAGCTGCTTCTGGTTAAAGATCATTTGATGTCCCTTGATTGTTACTAATTACCCACGTGGAGCCTTTGGCTGGGTGCCGGCCCTGGTGGCATGCAGGATCTGTACACCAAGGCCTGTGGCCATGGTGGGGCTGTGGGGTGGCCGAAGAAGCTCTGCCAGCTGGGTGCTGCTGGCTCATGGGCTGCTCTGAGGGACTGGGCAGGTCTGGGGGGTACTGGAAGTGGCAGTGGTGGCCTCAGAGGACCCCTGGGTGGAGTTTCGCTGCCCTAGGGGAGCGCAGAGTGGGGCATCCCCCCCTCAAATCTGAGGTTGCTGTGCCTTTCAGGTGAGGAGGAGCTCACGGGTACTGTGCCAGCCCCTCTCTGTCTCTGTGCTGAGAAGCCCCGAGGCCCGGACGGAACAGGTAACGCGCCCAGCTTGGACTGGGGGACACTTGGAGGACCGGGGAGTGCTGAGCACCAGCGCTGGGTACCCCTGCCTACTCCGGGGCTACCTGAGAGACTGTGGGGAGCTCGGCAGGGGGAAACTGAGGCCCTGGGGGGGGCTGGGGTAAGGTTAGCCCCCCCCCACCTTGCCTACCCTCCCGCCCCCCAGGCGCGGCCAGGTGTCCACCGGGCCATCCAGACGAGCGCGGCCCACCGGGACATCGACACCGCTGCCAAGTTCATCGGTGCCGGCGCTGCCACCGTGGGAGTGGCCGGTTCTGGCGCCGGCATCGGCACCGTCTTCGGCAGCCTCATCATCGGCTATGCCAGGTCAGGGCAGGGGGGTGGAAATGGGGGGGGTCGAGGGGGACCCTCTCTGCCCCCGCTGAGCAGCCTCTCCTCTCCCTGCAGGAACCCCTCGCTTAAACAGCAGCTCTTCTCCTATGCCATCTTGGGCTTTGCCCTCTCCGAGGCCATGGGGCTCTTCTGCCTCATGGTGGCCTTCCTCATCCTCTTCGCCATGTGACAGAGCTGGTGACAGTGACGGTGACAGCACCCCGCTGTGCCCGGTGCGATGCCTGGCTGTGAATGCCAGTTGGGGGGTGAGGGAGAACCCTGACCCCGGCCCCGCCATGGGCGGGAGGGGAATAAAGACGGTTTGATAACAGGGTCTCAGCTCCTCGCCTCTCCTTGGTGGCCTCGTCTGGTGTCACTTGCCCACAGCCAGCAGTGGGACACCACGCTGCCCTGGGCTCGTTTTGGGGAGGTGGCAGCGTCCCCTGAGGCGACCCGGGGTGCCTTGGGGCTGAGCCCTGCTGCCACCCCGAGCCCTCAGCCGTGTCCCCAAGGCGAGGGGAGACATCGCCCATCCCTGGGGACAGCCAGGAGCCCTCGGGACTCCTCCGGCCGTCACCTCTACCTGTCCCTGCCCTCATCACCCCCTTGGGGACACCCCAAGGCCGGGAGCTGGGGTGTGGGGTGCTGGGGCGTGGGGCTCGGGGTGTCCCCGTCTCGCTGTCACCGCACCATGGAGAGGGCCCCCACGGGCGGTCTCTCTATCCCCCCCGGAGGCCTCCCTCTCTCTGGCCGCCCCAGAGGAGGCGTGGCTAGACCCGCCCCTCCGCGTCGAAACCCCGCCCCCCGAGCCCCCTAATTGGCCCCGGCGCCGCTCCCCTCCCCTCGGGTCTCGCGAGAGTCTCGCGCGTGGGGAGAAGGTGACGGGGAGGGGGGGCCGGTTAAGGGGGGGGGTGGGGGGGGCTGAGGGGAGGCGGGAGCCCCAGCGCGAGAGGCAGCCAGCGCGAGGCCCCGGTCGGCGGCGCGGCCCGGCCCTCCCTCAGGTAACCGGCGGCGCCCGGGCTTGGCGGGCCCGAGGGGCGGCTCCGGGCGGGGGCGGTGGCGAGGAGAGGCGGCGGGGCAGCCCCCCCCCGATGGGGGGGGGGGGGGCGAGGGGGGCCGCGGGGAGCCCCGGCCGGCCCCTCCCCCCCACAACTCTCCCCGAGTTTTCGTGAGGCTGCCCACCCCCGCCTTTTCGCGGATTGACAGCGCCCTCTGGCCAATGGGCTCGCCGCTAGGGTCGGAGTGGCGGGCGGCGCCGCCAATGGTGACTTAGGGGGGCGCCGCGATGGGGCAATCCCCGCCCTGAGTGGGCGGGGCTGCTGGATGCAGCGAGGGGCCCGGGCGGTGCCTGAGGGGGGGAGCCCGGAGGCCAGGAGGGCCCCGGAGTGGGGGGGAAATGTAGGGAAATGGGGGGGCTGGGGGTGGAGGTGGAAGGAGGTCAGCGGGATGCGGGGCGTCAGAAGTGTGGGGCGCCACGAGGGGTGGGGGTCTGAGGGGGGGCCTCTGGGGTGGGGGGCTTGGAGAATATGGGGGGGGGGGGGGGCTTCAGGGATTACAAATAGGAGGGCATTGAGGGGTGGGGGTCTTGTGGGTTTGCAAATGTGGGGGACTTTAAAGGGAGAGAGTTATTGCAGTGGGATTCTGGGGAGTGAACCCCGGAGAGGTATCGGGGAGTCTTGAGGGACTGTGGCTGGGGGGGAGGCCTTGAGGGGTGGGGGAGCTTTGGAAGATGGGAGAGAATTGGTGGAGGATGTCTTTGGAGGTTGTAGATAGGGGACACCCTTTGGTGTGCAGAACCTGGGGGGCCTCTGAAGAGATATGGGGTGTCATGGGGGAAGGCAGATATGGGGACCTCGGGGGTTAGAAGAGCCTTGGGAGGGATCCTGGGGGGGACCCCCTTTAATTGGGACTCATCATCCTCTGGATGAGGAGGGGTTTGGGCTCAGCGTGGTGGCTCGTGACTCTTTTGGGGCAGCTGGGGGGGGGATCCGTGTTTACGTGTCAGGGCTCCCGGTGGCAAGCAGATGTAGAAAGGGTGTGGAGCGGTTGTAGGTGCCCATGGGGATGGGGGTGAGGTGCAGAACAGGGTGTAGGCTGGTGAATGGCTGTGGGTCTGCAGCGTGTTGGAGGTTGGGGGGCTCTTGGCCCCTTGCAGTCCCAGGGGGGTCAGTGACTCCCCCAGCACTGAGTAAAGGAAGGCATGCAAACAGCAGGAATTAGAGAATTAAGTAGTTTCTTCCCAAGTCTGAAACAGCGGTTAAATCTCACTGGGGCACTTTGAGAGCTCTAACTTCTGAGAGCTTGTAGAAGTGGTGAGGTTTCACTGCGTGCTTGCTCATCTGCCACTGGCGCTGTGAAATCTATTGCCTGTAAGTAGCTCCAACTTTGAGAGCACAACCTGGGTTAGATCTCAAAGCTGGTTTGTTCCTACTGCCAGAAGCGTTGGTATGGAGTCCCTCAACCTGACTAAGGAAGAGAGATCAGCTGGTTCAGGTGTGAGATGAAATGTGTGTGACAACAAAAACTCCTTGTTCTGCTCAGCTTTCTCCATTTTGTTCTTTCTGCCTCTGTTGCCTCTTCTTCACCAAGTCCCATCTTTTTCTTTATGAAGTTACCAGTTCTTTCCCTATTCAGGTCCCACTAAAGACAGCATTTCAATTTAACGTCCAGGAGTACAACATAAAAATGTCACTAATGCTTTGATGAGCTTCCCAAATTATTTTGCCTCGCTACAGTGCTTGTTGGGCAGAACTTTTGTCCACCAGGCATGGTCTGAAGGGGTTATTTAGTTCTTCACAAACTGCTTTAAAAATAGTTGTCACTAAAATGCAGTCCCTTCTGGAGAGAAATTCAGCAGCAGTTCTCAACTACTGGCTTTATTGAACAGTTTTTTTGGATTTGGGTTTTCTCAGCGGAGACTAAGAATAACTTCACTGTTTGAATGTGGAGGAGAAGTTTGTGGGAGGTGGATTGAACAGCCAGATTCCTGTTTGGAAAACGAGTGGGGTTAACATCCTTGCTCCTTGTTTCCTTAAAGCAGGAGATCATATTCACCTTCTGTGACATGAGTGGGGTAATAACTGTTGCCAACTGTAATCACTTTGTGGACTGGAGAGTGCTGGAGTGCTTGTTTGCTCTTAGTGTTAAAAACAAACAAAAAAGGTGTGGGTTTAGCTGGTGGAAGCAGCTAGTCAGCAGTCAACCTGCGAGGTTTGTAACGATTACCTCCAGCTGGGATGGCCTTTTCTTGGAAGTGTTTTATTTCTGATCCTAGAAATTGGTTGGGAATTGAGAAGTGGGAGACTATTTTAGTACCTGATAGACCTCACTGCTTTGAGAACTTTAATGCATCCATGAATTTGCTTAATTGTGTGCCAATCCTTTGGTTGTACCTAATTGTTGTATGTTAAACACTTCCTCTCCTTTCTGGCACTTGCCTGTCAACTAACTAAAAAATTATCATGTCCACCTTACTGCTTAGTCAAACTAGGCGTCTAGTTATTTTAATCTCCTTGTAAATCAATCCCTCCAGCTGCTTAACTATATTTTCCTGAATGCCTTCCAATTTGCCAATATCCTTCTGATACTGAATAGCTTGGAGTTGAACGTGGTTTGCATCAGAGTGCTGGAGATTCGGACTTACCCTCCTTGCTCTCTGTCTGCTCAGATTATAAGAAGGAAAAGCTTTACACAAACTTTGTGAATGTTAAACTTTCCACTTGCAATTTGTCTTTTGCTCTAACTTAACTTTTCGCTGTTGAGGGGTATTTCTAACATTAATTTCTACTTATTCTTGATCATATTTCTATTTTCTCAAGGTTCCTTATGTTCCGGTCTTCTCCAGAATTTCCCAGTGTACGTATTTAGTGCTCTGCTTTTTTTTTTTTTCTCTGTGTGATTTATGAAGATGTCAGGTGAAAATGAACTTGCTGTTGAGCCTCGCTGCGTGCCGCTGTTAGATGCTCAGCCCACCTTGGTAGGTTGCAAGTGTCATTACCCTTTTTAACCTGGTTGACAGGACTTGCTGGTCTGAGTTAACTTGGAAGCACTGTACAGTCTCTGTGGCACAACTGTAATGGTGATTGTGTAGATATGCCATGTAGGAAGATGGCAAAAATAAAAGGGTGTAACTTAAAAAAAGTAAAATTTCTCATTAATGTCTTTATTCCCATCTCTTCCAAAACCTCTCGGAGCCCAACTGGAGGAGATGCTAACTGTGGAGGATGTGCTCAGGATGGCTGAAAGGGGGTTTGTGGATGTGGCATGGGGCAGGCAGGAAATTTCCCTTGCCTATTTTGAAAGATGGAGAAGTTTGAGAGAGGAAGTGTGAGAGGATGGTTGAGGGGGAAGAAGCCAAATCCTCCTTCCATCCTGCTTGCAAGGTCCACCGGTTTCACGTGCTGAGGCACTGGAGCTTTTCTGGGGGTGTGGAGCGGGGATCAGGGCAACAAGGGGACATCCTCACCCAGAGCTGGTCGCTGCCTCTTTGTGGTGGAAACATTTTTAAAATGGCTTAGTAAAGTACGCTCAGCTTCTGGCAGGCCGTGTGGTGCGTGTGTTGTTTTTTGCAGCATGTGTTAGGAGAGGATCTCTGGGTTGGATTTTGTTTTGGACTCATTTTCTGCTGCATCACATGTGATGCTTTTGTGCATTCTGTTTGGTTTTATTTATCCTTCTGACTTTCTTGGGGCCTTTTTTTTTTTTTCTACTTTTTTTTTTTTTTTTTTTCCTAAAAAAAAACGTTCCTAGCACCAAGAATTGAGGCCAGATTTCCAAAACCACTCTTGTCCCAGTCATTTAACACCCAACTATGATGCATTTTGAGAGGAAATGCTGGGAGAAAATACTTTTTTGTAAGACCTTCAGGACTGGGACCTGTTGCTTCCTGTAACTTCATTAATTTTCCCCCCTCCCCTTTTACTGCAATCTTGTTTCTCAGTTTTGGTTTCAAGGAACTTGTAATAAAACGAGTGAATGCTGAGTTGTGTAGGCTGAGAGAGATGTATGTAAGCAAGGATTTCCCTGGCGAGCTAGAAATAGTTTCTGTTTGGTGTAGAGGTGTGTAGGAAGCTGCCTATAGAGACTAAAACAAAAGGACATTTATAGCTTCGCTTCCTTTTGAATAGAAAACTGAGGTTTTAATCAGTCTTCGCATCACAGTATTTGTCACATCTTTTTGTCTGGCTGATGAATTCCTACTTCGTGTCACTTGAAGTTCTCTGTGAATCTCTTAATTTTACTCCTTCTCCGCTTTTTCAAGTGTCTTTGCCCAGATCCAAAAAGTTAAGGCTTAGCCTGCACGCAGTTTTTTCTGCTGGCAGGAGCAGGAGTTTGCTCCTGACCAAGCTGTATCTGTGGTCTCAGCCCTCCTCCAAGCGATGCGCTGCAGGTGAGCTGTGAGACCAGGCCATGGAGAGCACACCAGCATTTCCTAATTTACAGCCCTTGGAGGTGCTGATATCCACAGAGGTTCCTCTCCAAGCTGCTGGTTGATACTCGTGCACTCGGGTTTGTTCTCCCTCTTTAGTGCTGATATTTAGTGTGTTTTGCTGCAATTAGTCTTGGCTCATGGGAGTTTGGCTTAATTACTTCTCAGAAGTTCAATTTCATAATCATCCAAGAGGCTTCTTGCTTTTTTTTTTTTTTTTTTTTTCCCCCCGCCTCTCCAATACACCTGGCGGGGCACGTGCTGATGCCGAAGTCAGCCATACAGTAGCCTTTATATAGCACATGCTGTATTTTACTGCATGCCAAAGTTTGACATTTGTTTTTGAAACATGATAAATTCAGCGCCTTAACCAGCTCCAACACAGTGTGGTTTCACTGAGGCTAAGCCTAATTTTAATGCAGGCTAATTATTTAGTGGAGCGGGATTTTTTTGGCTTGCACCTCTTCCCTCTAAACTCTTCACACGCTTTGCTGGGGCGGTGGGTGAGAGGCCAAGCTGGCCGGGGTCGATTTTCCTACCTCCACGTCTCCCTTTTGCTGCTGTACGCGCGCAGGGGCTGCCGTCCCGCATCAGGGCAGAGCGCCGAGCTGAGCTCCCCGGGTGACAGCAGCCATTTATCGAAGTTTCCCAAGGAAAGCAACGCCTTTGGCTCACGGGGAGCAACGCGGGCCTTGCAAACGGCGCGGCCGCTCTCGTCGCAGGAGCGAGCCAGCCCGCGGAGAGCCTGCAGCGGTCTGGAATGCCTCTCTGCTGTCCCACCCTTGTGCGAGAGAGTAAAGCGGCGGTGGAGACGCGGTGCCAGCCGTTGCAAGCTGGTTCATGAATAAACAAAGCTGCTCTGCCAGCTACAGGCCGTGCTACCCACTGGGGGTATTTCTCTGTGCAGGCTCTGCAGAGCTCTGAGCCCTCTTTGTGAGGCATGGCTACCAAAAAAACCCTAACAGAAAAGCTGTACGAAGGCATTTTCCTCTCCTTCCCCCCCCCCCCCAAAAAGACATTTGAACTCCTTGGGTATGAAATGCACGTTGTGCCTAGAGTTCAAAGGAGTGTAAAGCTGCAAAGTTCACCATTTCTCGGCCTTTTGGGGACGCGCTGCCACGCTTGCAGTGCTGCTGTTAGCAGAGCTCTTGCACAGCTTGCCTTTTTTTTTTTTTTTTTTTTTTTTTTTTTTTATGCTTATGGAGCATGTTTTCAGCCCTGGCTGGCAAAGACCTCGTTCTGAATACCATTGTTACTATTTAAAATAATAATAATACTAAAAAAGCAGTCTTTCACAGACTTCAGTGTATTAAGGACTTGGCTAGATGTGGACTTGGCAGTGGTAGGGAATAAGCAATGCCCAAATGAGTGTATTTATACCTGTGTAACTAACCGTGCTGAGCTGTCTTATACCCTTTAACTGTTTCCAAAGTGAGTAAACCAGACTTGGAGCAGAACATGGCTTTTTGGATTTTCTGCCAAAAAGCTCTTGTTGGTGCTGAGTCTGCTGAGATGAAGGGAAGAAATCTTCAAATCGCTAAGCAGTTAATGCTTGCAATTATTTAAAATAGCCAGTGTTTAAAATAGACTTGTTTCTAGAGGTACAGGTGGTCGTGTCCACAGCTGAAGATGCTGGAGATCCGTAAAAGTTTTGAAAGTGAGGTTGATCTACTGCTGCTGGAGTTGAAGTAGGTTGTGTGTGGGCAGGGAAGGCTTTGCCAATTAATCTCCTTGCAGTGAAATGTAAAGCCTTCTTCTACCTCATGCTGTTCTCATTGCAGCGGGACCTGAAGGTAGGCTTGGCAGCCTTTCACGGGCCATTCTTCTGCTGTTCCTGCAGTAGGAATATTCCCTTATTTTTTTTTTTGAGTGTTGGTAAAGTAGAGCTGGAGGAGGAGCAGGAGAGGGAGATGAGATCCAAAGGCCGATTGTCACCAGGGGTGACAGCAGCTGGGTGCCAGCTCTTCTGGAATTAACCGCTGGGTCCCGAAAATGTGAAGGCAGAGACTTAGCTGAGCATCCCGCAGCGCAGGGTGGATTTACTGAAAACGGAGCTGAGGAAGTTTATCTACAGCTTTAATCGGATTAGAAGCCTTTATATGGCAGAGTGCACTGTTACAAACCTGGAGAGTTTATGTAAGAGCGAGCATTGCTCATCGTCCAGATCCTCGCTCTGATCGAGCCATGTGCAAAGGGAACGTGATGAAACGTGATTTTTTTGAACATAATCCTGGGAGTGTTGACAGAGTTTTAATGAGCAAGTATGTTTTCTGGTGGAGGTGGTGAGAAACTTCCCGAGGGATGCTTGCTCTTCTTCGCGTGGATATTTTTCATCTTTCTACCCCATGTTGCTTTCTTTTCCTTTCTTTTTTGGAAAGCTCTCTATTTTTAATGTATATAGAGCACCCGTTTGTATGATCCACGTTTAGGACGCTGTATCCTTCATCTGTGTAAGATTTCACGTTTTGAATTATGTAAACTATATACAGGAAATCATTGCTTTGTTCACCGCTAAAACGCAATCATTCCGGAGGCAGAATGCAGTTCTGGTTAAACAACTCACAATAATGTACCAGATTTCTAGACATTACTTATATTTGGAATATTTCTTGCTCCCCTCTGATTTTAGGGCTCGCATATCAAATAATGATGCCATAAAATGTGTGTGCCTTTGAATGCTAAATAAATAAAAATGCCCACATGTGATGTAAATAATAACAGGTGGGACAAAATATTTTTACTTTATGACCATGCGTGCGTACAAGAGCATCGTGCCTTTCTGTCCCCTGTCCCGCTGGTGCTGTTTCAGTTATTTTAATTCATTGACAAGAATTTTATCCATAGGTAGTCGCTTACATAAGAGGCTCTCCTGTTCTTAACTCTGTGCAGCCTTGACTTTGATCTTGCTTTAAAACTATTCGCACACCATTGTGGGGAGAATATGTTCAAGCTTGACTTGGGCTCTTGCGTCCCATTTTCAGCAGCTTTTTTCCTCACTTTCATTGAAACAAGGGCTCTTAAGCAGCTAAATAATTTCAGGAAATGGGACTCCAGTTTCTAGGTCACTTAGGCATTTCCTAGGTAAAATAATGCATTCACTAAGGCTTGTCATGGCTTTCTTATAATTATCTCTACTCAGTAAGAAACAGTGGGTCTCTTAGGTTTTTCCTTCCTTTCTTAAACTTGAATTATTTCTCTCTCCTGTAGTAGATCTCTTGCAATATGTTGTCCCTGCTGTGAAGAAGTCTATAGCTGAAGATGTATCACCGCTAATGAAGAAGCGCAAGGCGACCCAAGAGCTGTAGTGCCAAGCTCCGGAGGCTGTCTGCGTGCGTCTTGGAGTCTGCCTTTTAGAGTATCTGTTTACTCAGTGTGCCGTCGTGTTACGAATTCGAACCTGCTGGAAGCAACGCCAGGAACATTTCCT